GAGATTGGAGCATGTCTTTGCATCATTACGTCACATATATACACATAAAGAAGGAGGAGTCTCTGCTTGTATAAGTTATTGTGTGTGAGGATGCTGGAGGTGGAGATTTATAGCCTTTTCTCACACTTGATAAAATTAAACTTATCAATTTGATGGCAGATCCAAAAAGGTTCAAACGACAATCACCAGTGGCAACAGATTCACCCGCTGTAAAATACAAAAGACTTCGTTCGGACTTCGGAGGCAACAGAAAAAAAGAGACTGCAACCGGACCGACGTGAAAAACAAGGATACATATTGGAAGGACATTACAGTATGTAGTAACGCAATGCTGACTTTGTTAAAATGAACAATTTGAGAACAAAGTATAATTTGCACGGTTTTGCGTGATATTATAAGCGATTGTTAGATTTAATCAGCGCGATTTACTGCAGTGTCAGAACCACAACAAAAGTGGATGTTCTTACTAGTTTAGATGACACTTTCTGGTGAAAATTCTTATGTTGTCAATGGTCATAATCTGTGATTCTGAATGCCAGTATCCACATCGGCACGGTGACTGACAGCCTCACACACTCCTTAAACATTGTGTTCTTCCGCGCTGTGCCGTGTTGAGGGTGTTGAAGTACAACTCGCGTAAAGCTGATAATTCCGCGAATGACTGCAATTGCAAATTTCGAACAGAGATGGCGACAAAGAGGAAAAACGCCAGACTGCAGCTTTAAGTATCATTAGATGATGGCAAATGTAACCTAAATGTAAACTTAAATGATATGAGCAATAACAATTAAATATCTAAATAATATCAACCAATACAATAATTTAAAAATATTTTCCAAAACCAATTTGACAAACAGTGCATTCCTAATTTTTCCATGTTGTAATGGGAACAATACATTGTCGTAAATGAATCATGTAATCAGCTCTGAAAGCTTGACAAATCATGAGTGGACTAATCCAACCACACTTAGAAAACTCTGGACAGCTAATACAACTGAGGGAGCATCCTGTTTTGCTGCTACACGTGCACTGCATTGAACAGACAAACGACCTCTGTGGATTAACAAGTGATTTTACACTTGGCCTTGTTGCCAGCTGGATGAGGCAGCGGAGGCCTTTTGGACGACACACAATGTATTTACACACTGCCAAAACACTGAACATTCACTACTACCACTTGCATTCCCTTTGGCGATCTTTTGCATGCTCTGCCACCATGCTTGGCATGGCATGATGAGATCCCTAACAAAGACTGGAAAATTAAACAATTAATTAATTAGCTCATATTAAAGTAAGGAAGGCCTTGAAAATGAATGCATCACATATGTGCAGTTGTAATGCAAATTGCAAACTAATATTCCCACTGTTCAGATGCAGACTGATGCATCAGAGTACAAAAAAGGCTTGTGCAAGCAATCTATCATCAGAAGAGAACAGAAAGGTATTTCAGGCAGTTCTGCATGAATATTACTGTAAGAGGAACTACTCGTCCATAAAAACTACATCATCAATCTTTAGGTTAGGGAAGTCAGTTTACATAAATTCTCATAAGCGATCGTTGTTAAAATGAACGATCTACCAAGTTATCTTGTTACTTAACCACTTGCCTAAACGAGACAAAATGTGTGTTGTTTAAAAGCTTATTTTCATAGCATAAATAATAACTGCTTTACATTAAAATGTGATCTGTAAAATCTAAGGGTGCTCCAATTAATCGGGCTCCAATCATTATCGGCAGAAATTAGCTTTATATAGTTGATCGGTGATCGATAAAGGCCGATCAGATGACGCTAAAAACACACAAGACTGCTTCACTACATTAACAGTTCTACCAGGTGTCTGAAAAAGTCTTTGAGGAGAGCGGAGACATTGGAACAACAGCAACCCAGCAATAACAGCAAGAAACTAGAGCTATTTTCTTTCCATCACAGCAGTGAGTTTTATTTCCTACTTTAAAGGCCAAACTTAATGTCCAAATTAGCTAGATCAGATATGTCATCACGTGATATGCCATCTTTTTTTATATATAAACATGAATTCAAAATTTAAAAATAATCAACTCAAATTTACGACAAGAATTTGCTTTCTTTTAATTCAGCCAAGAGGTCACGCCATGACAATGTTTTACGTTTTATTCTTTACGACACGTGATGCAAAATCACAGTTAAGAGTTCACCAAACATGATCTTTGGGAAACAGTGAAATGCAAAACTTTTCGCATCAACAAGTTTTATCGATTAGCCTACATTATTAATCAACAGTCGATAAATCATTGGCATTCTTACTTCAGGTGCTTCTGTCCTTTTCAAACCACAATGAAAACTTTGCCAGGATGGGAGACTGGTCAAACTATCCTGAAATAAGATCCCTGTCATTTCAAAGGCATCATGCAAAGGCATAGCCAGAGGCTCACAGAGCACCGCAGCTGTCGCCATCCGTCTGGCAGCAGGCAGCATTTCACAATTGATCTGGGAAAACAATAATAAATCTAGAAACCCTCTGGCTGCACACAACGAACAAAAATTAAAGCATTAAAGAAACTTGAAGTACCCCTAACAATTTGGCAACTTGTCAGATTTACTTCAAACTACGGGGCTGTCCTAAATAATGGCACTCCATCCTTCCCTGTAAAGGATCCAATGGGTGGGATTTTAGTTTCCCAGCTCTCCTGAGTGTCAGTAAAGAAACAGCTGCCGTCACTTGAGGTTGACAATAACAACCTGGAGCTTCTCTTCCTCTGCTTAGCACTCTGAAAGAAGCTTTATCTTGAGAATTGCAACTGTATAGAACCAAGGCTACATTTTAGGGAAAATCACATTTAGTCCATGACTGGAATGTCAGTATTTTGGACATTTTTGGAAAATTGTCACAATCTTTAACAACAGAAGAAAGTGAAAACTATGCAAAAAAAAAAAAAAAAAAGCAGTCATCTCAAGTAAAATTATCTTCCATTTACACTCAAATTGAATCAACACGTTCAAATTAAAATCACTGGTCATTTCAATAAACTGTACTGGGGTTAAACCAAACGAGTCTCTGTTTGGATTTAAATAGGCAAATGCTTAGGAGTCTATGATTAGATCATTACTGTAGTGATCATTATGTTTCTAGAATGTTATATGTTTAACAACAATTCACAAACATTAAAACACATCATAGCCATATTTCAAGATGACGATGTCAAGATGCACCAGGCTCAAATTGTGAAAGAAAGGTTGGGAGGAAGCATGAAGTATCATTTTTACACATGAATTGGAAGTCCAGATCTTAAATTCATTGCAAGGCTTTGGGGTGTGCTGGTGTAGACATTACTATGTGCTCGACTCTTCCATTGTCAATACAAGATCTTGACTAAAAATGTATGCATCTCCTAATGGAAATAACATCACAACTTTTATTTCCATTAAGAGGTGCATACATTTTTGGTCAAGATCTTGATCTACACACTCCATCAACTAGGGTAAGAAGAACTGTTGCCAAACATATGACATGCTAAACTGAATAATCACTCCAATAAAGGTCCAACCATAGACTCTTTAAGCATTTGGCTATTTACATCAAAACAGCGACTTTTTTGCGTGTCAGCATTTGACAAAACACATATGAATTAGTCATTACTTTGAGATACAATTCTTTTCAAATCCTAATTTCCATTTCAAATCCTATACAAACGTGCTTCTGAATAACCAGCAAGCAGATAAAGCGTTGGCACTTGGCAGTTAAACAACAACGTTGCTAGCACAAAACTGCCAAATGACATCTCAATTTAACCGCCAGCGGGTGGTCTTCACAGTAAAATACCAGAAACGTTACGCTCGTAAACCAAACAAATGGAAAAACAGTACACATATTTAATATTTAGTATAGATACATACCCAATTTGTAATATTTTAATGTGCTATAAAACTGGTCAAATACTCATTAAACCCGTTGTCGCAGTAAAAGCCATAACATTATTTACCAAACTAACGTTAATGCCATTCTGTTTTTGTAAATCATAAATAGTCTTGTTTTCGTGTAAAATCTAAACACAACTAAAAAAATAAGACAAGATATTATATTTTTTAGTAATATCTAGTTATTATAGTAAGACTAGACTTATATTTTTATAGTGTTTTTACTTCCTGCGGCTTTGAGAATATTGAGACGTTTGACAGAGCTAACACACTCTTGGCTCGCGCGCTGACTGTAGTGAATTCAAGCGCATTCGGGAATAAATGCTTTTCCCCATTATTTTACAAAGGTAGACAGCTCTATAAAGTTATATTATACTTACCAATAATTCCGCAAATATAGTTTTTCCTGGGATTTGTCAACTCTACCGCCTCAACACTCCTACAGCTCCACCTTACACACTTTCCAACTTCAGTTGCAGTCAACTGAGTGTACTAGACATCTCAGCCACACAACCAGCCGCGTGAACACAGCGACAGGCGCTCCGATTCAAAATGGCCGCCTGAGATTTACGTTTTCATAATAAAAGCATTCCTGCTCATCCGAAGCTTCTGGACCTGAAAGACCACATGGAAAACCTTCGTGTTTTCGCTTTACATCTTATTTTAGGCTGATTTGATTGAGAAGTCTGGATTCTGGAATACATGGACTCTATACCACGGCATTTTTTATACATATTTTAACGGATTATTCCGATATTATAATTTAAGGTAACTAACGAAAAAATAGATAAATTATTTTATTTTCTTGTTTAGCCTAATGTAATCGTGTATGCAAACACTGCTCTCTAAGGCTTTATCTGAATAAATTTTAGGTCAGTGAAAAAAGTACAGTGAGATGATCAGTTTCATATTTTAATATGGCATAAATGCAACATTATCATTGGTGGTTGGTTGCTATCAACTGTTTAGTTACCCACGTTCTTTAAAATATCTTATTTTGTGTTCAGCAAAAAATAAAATAAATAAATAAATAAATTATTCACTCAAATTTGGAGCAACTTGATGGTGAGTAAATTATGACAGAAGCATACATTTTTGGTTGAAATATCCCTTTAATCGGAATCTCAGACGTTCTGAACAATCAGGGACATCTAGTGGACAATAACAAAAGTAAGGGACTCAGGGAAGACAAAAATAACAATCACATAAAAACGGAATAATTTGAATGCATTGTGCTTTGTCTGTTAACATAAAATTATGACATGCTTAGTATTATAATTAAGGCGTAATTATTATTAATAAAATACATAATAATAAATTAACGTTGTATTCCTAACTTCAAGTTGTTCATGTTGCTATCACAACATGATCCAGTAGATGGCCTCATGTCTCCAGCTGTTTTATACAGTCTATGCTCCAGCTCCATTTGATTCTTTATAAATTGGTCTCCTTCATGGCTGTCCTTCAAAAAGAGACACAGCTGGAACAGAATAATACTTATTATACCAATTACTAATAATTAATTGTAATTATTTAAATATTTTTTGGTGCAATTTCACAGAAAATATTTTAAATCCTTGGTTTGGCTAAGTTAAACATAAAAGCACTTATTTAATACTGGTATTGAAAGTACTGTATATGGGCTTACTTGGTGTGCTTCTATGGGATCTCTGTGTTGCACGGAGCCCCTCCTTACTCAGTCTGGGCACTGGAGGCCTTACAGGACCAGGACGTATCCCTGCATTCCATTGGGAGGTCTGGGAAAGTGTCTTTATGGAGTCCTTGTTATCCGGAAGTGCTTGTAAATTGTGTGCTGCCCATTGCGGCCTGTTATGTTTTTGCTTTCCTGCTGCACTGAGATCCAAGGATAAAAACATCTGGGAAAATACAAATAAAACCCTTGTTTGTTTTTTTTTCTTATATATAATTCTAGCACATAATATAATGCATACAATATAATGTCTGTTTTCTTCCCCTAGCAACACAGTGCCGCCTTCTGCCTCCGTGCAGCACATTTCCATGATATTCCACATATAGTCTGTTCAATATGCATGATGCCTCTTGGTTATGTAGTCTCTGGAGAATTATTTTCATGCTGCTGCTGATGGTTTCTGTGCATGACAGTTATATTGGCTTACCAAAGATTTGGCCTTGCGCAGCTTGTATGTTGAGAAAGATGGTGTTTTTGTTGTTTTTTCTTGTCTTGTTGTGTTGGAAGTAGCACTTTTCCCCTTTTCCCCTCTGTAGCAATAAAAATGCATGGCTTAGCATTTTCTACTGTAATTGTAATATTTTTGAACAAGTGGACAGCACATTTACAGATCATTAACTGCACTCAAATAGTGCAGCATACCTGTTAGTGGATCACATGTAGTTTTGTGATATCATATTATCTAAGGACTCAACTCAAATATAGAACATGAATATATTTATTTAAAAGTTAGGGGTTGGTAAGACTTTATAATGTTTTTGAAGATAGATCAATAATGCTGAAAAAATATTGTGTGAAATTTTTAAAGAACTATAAAGTAGTTTATTCCTGTGATTATAAAGCTGAATTTTCAGCATCATTACTCGCATTATTTTCATTATCACATGATCCTTAAGAAATCATTCTAATATGCTGATTTGATGCTCAAGAGCCATTCCTTTTTATTGTTAATGTTCAAAACAGTTGTTTCCACAAAAATATTAAGCAGCACAACTTTAAACATTAATAATAAGAACTGTTTCTGGGGCATCACATTTTTTTCAAGTTTCTGTAACAATGTAAAAGTTTCCACTGTCACTTTTGATCAATTTAATGCATTCTTGCTAAATAAAAGTATGCATGTCTTAAAAAAATCTCACTGATCCCAAACTTTTGAACTGTTGTGTATCTATGTGTGTGTGTGCAAAAAACAAAATAGGTTCACTTCACTCACGTTATTCTTGCATGTTCAACTGGGTCAAGGTTATCCAAGTAGTTAAAGCGTATTATGTCGGTGGGATGCCTGTCTGAGTCTCTCCATGGAGGAAGGCCTTTGGCTGATTTCACCAAGTCATTCCCATCTTTACTTTTCCCATGCAGACTTGAGAGGACAGACTTGAACTCCCTTTGGCCGGTCATAGGATGTGACCCCACGATCTCACTGCCAATTACTTTCACCTCAGGAATAATAAAGTCTTCCTTCACAGGCATCTGGAATATGTGAGAGAACACAAAAATTACATTGATTCCAGCATTTCTCAATGGATATATATATCTCTCTCTTTCTCCACATTATCTCTTACCTTGGGCCTGCTAATATGAAGCTCTTGCACTGTCTCTATGTAATGCCTCTTCCATACACCTTGTTCAAATGGTGTTGGAGCAAAAGTTATGCACCAGCCTAATTTCAGACATTTAGGCATCCACAGCTGGTCAAGCTCCACCAGGTTTTTCCAATGCCAGCTCACCTGCGCATGAAAATATTAGTCATTAGATAATACACCAATGTCAAAAATAAAGTACAGTTAAAAAGTGTAGGCACAGTAAGATTTTGTTTAAAAGAAAATAATATTTTCATTAAGCTGGTTTGCACTAAATATTAAAATATATTGAAAGTAGACATTTGAATTTGTAATAATATTCCATTACAATACTTTTACAGTTTTAATGTATTTTGGGTTAAATAAATGCATCCTTGGAGAGCATTAGAGACTACTTTCAAAAACATTGGTAATACTTTAGTTTAAGGGTCCAATTCTCACTATTAACTAGTTGCTAGGATATCGGCTGTTTATTAGTATTTATAAAGCACAAATTAATGCCTTATTCTGCATGACCATATTCTAACATCCATAATCCTGCCCAATACCTAAACAACTACCTTACAAACAACTATATGCAGTGATTAGGAGTTTATTGAAGGGAAAAAACATAGTTATTAGTTAATAGTGTGGCTTGGACCCTAAACTAAAGTGTGACCAAAAAAGTTTGTTGTTGTTTTTTCTTCTTCATTGAATTAAAAAATGTATACAATGGAAACAATACATACCTGAGCACATCTACAGAGGCTTCGGGGGTCTAGGAATGAAAATATATAGAGGGATATGATCCTGGGAAGCACTGTAGTGAAGTCAAGTGCTTCCTCTGGTACCCAGCTGCACAAAGTCTGTCTGAGATGTTTCAGCTGGTTAACAGAACATCTGGAGAAAAAATCTTGTAGCACCTGTTTCCGCTGGCTATCAGTCCACTTCTCAAACTGGGGCAAAAGGGAATAGGGATTGAGCGTAGCTATATCAACTGAGCAAATATCAAAAACAAGACAGTGTAAACATTGCATTTTTTACAGTTAGTGCATGCCTTACCCACTTTCCAAGCAGATTTCTTCTCTCTTCAAAAACCTGCAAACAAATGTTTACAGAATTTACCTTTGATATGAAATTGTACAATAATATTATCACTATCAATGTAACCATAGCTAAATCAATATATTGAAGATCAAATATGCTACTATAATTTTTAAGTGTTGCAGGTACATTAGCATTGGAGAGAGGATGATTTAGAGGTGTCCAGGTGCTCAATTTGGTCTGCATTTTTAAGCTGGGGGCTTGTGGCATCTTTCATTTAAGTTCAGACGTTTGAGATTCAGCTCCATCCAGTCATACCTGCGGAAACCTCAGTCATTAGCAAGCGTGCTTTATCAGAATAACATACCGATGGTAAGGCAAACAAATGTGCAGTGATTTTCACACCAGCAACAATAAAATGGCCTGGACGCACGGCACATTACAGTAGCAAAGAAACCAAACCTACCATTGGCAGCAATGTCAACCGAAAAAACTCATGATAGCTATTATAACGAAACCATTAAAGGTTAACTGATTCGATTTTGATGGTTTTGCGCTTCCTGCTCGGTAAGTTTACCAGTCTCCATAGCAATCTCACTCCCTCTCACTCTGTCCCGCCTCTTGCTCTTTCCATGTTTCACTGAAGATGTTCGATTCGCAAACGAATCGTTGTCGCCGCATCTTTTGAACGAATCAGTTCACAAAACCGATAGGTAGCCTAAAGAATCTGACTGAAATTTTATAAAATATATCAATTTAAACTGTACTCTCTGTAATAGCTTATTATCATGAAACCACCTTACATGGTGTTGTACTTTTTTTTGTTATTGTGGTGTAAATGTATTTATTTATACGTTTAAATAGGATGTAAACAGTATTAGAGACTGAATAAGAAAGCTATTCTGAATAAGAAAGCTAGATAAGAATTAACAAACAGTTATTTGATATCTATACCCGAATGCACCTTTGTTCTTTTTTATATAACTTGTTATATTATATACGTTAGTTTTATTCTTGTGTACAAAATGTATGTTGCTTGGATAAAAATCGTGTAAGCTGATGGGGAGAAGAAATAAATTAGTGAATAACTAAAACATAAATATTTTATAGCATAGTTTACGACTTGATTGTATGAACGCTTTATCAACCCAATATGTGTTCATGCATATTTCAGTAGAGGGCTATTTGAAATCAACTCATGAGTTGACTTTAAACAGCCCTCTGCCACTTACTGAAATATAGATTACATACACTGAATTAATTATAATATTGTTTAATGTAAATGCAAATAACATTCGAAATTAATTGATGCTTTATTAGCAGAATCGTGACTACAACTAACTATTTGAAACGCATGAACGTACAATAAACATCCTTAATCCAAAAACGTAGATAAACAACCCGTTTTAGAAAGTAAACATATCACTCAGCAAACACGCGATGACGTAATCACACAATGGTGTAAAAGAATCAATGACAAGATCTCAACCAATTCTTCGAAATGAACTGCTCGAAAGAACCGAATCTCGAAAATGAGTCGAACTTCCTACTACCAAACACACGCCCATCATTCCGGGCATCCACAAATCAGCAGCGCCAACTTCATTTCATTATAGTGCGGAGACGCTCCCCGCTCCCTACAGCTCCGGGTCAATGCAACGATGATATCCGTGGATAAACCCAAGTCATTCTCCTTTTGCCTATTGATTGTGTTTTTTTCACGCGCAATCCAGTGACTTAAGTTCTAATATGCTTTTATATTGAGTGAAAGCAATATTCGTCGCGCGTCATCGACAAATGCGCGCGCCCGTACAAATCCGCAAAAAAACCTGCAGAAAGACACACAGGGCTCGTATTGTTAGAGACGCGGAGTGGGGTCTCTCACGTGAATGCTTTCAACTCGAGAGGTAAGAAGGACTTTTTATCATAATCAAAATTAATTCGGCGCAGGAACATATTTTAGTCAAAATAAGAATAATACACACCTTAAGAATACACCGGGCACCTATTTGAAGGGAGTTTCATCATAGCGAAGCTGCAACACGACTCTCAATGGATAGGGTTAATGAAGAAGGCTATCTGTTGTTCGGCTTTATTTTCATTTTTGTTGAAAAACAGACTGCAATAATGTTAAAAATGTTTGGGTTTTTTATTGAAAAAAGGGGGAGAAAAATCATAAAATAATTTTAGTACAGGACACTAGTTAAATCCTGGTTCCTGATTGCTTATATATATAAAGGTTTGCGTGTGTGTTTGCAATGAGCTTTAAATGCGTCGAATTAAATAGTAATTAAATTACTATACTAGAGGTGTCAGGGACAAACCAGTATCATGAACATAATTAAAATAATTCAGCATTTTGTGTGTGTGTGTGTGTGTGTGTGCGCGCGTGTGTGAACCGTTTAGACGCAGTGTCTATTCCTGTGGGCATCACTTTTTGTCCTCTATGTTGACAATTTTCTCTTGAAATCATCTGCCCTTCTTTTATAACTACAAAATATATATCCTAAAACTACATCAACAATAGTTTAACAGTTTTAAAGTTATTACATATCAGTTAATTGTATAATACAATAATATTTGTATTTTTAATTAAACTGTTTATTATTTATTTATTAATTGTTATTAATGGCTGCATTTAGAGTTGAAATAAATCATGGAACATAATTCAGTTATGTTGAGGTTACAGGTTAATACTGTGTTCTACCCTATTGTTCCTGAGGTTATAATGTTCTAATTTCATTTACACTGAACACATATTTACATAAATTTTCCCATAGATAAGCTTCTTTTATTTGCTGTCACTATAAAATGGCAGTGCTTTTGATCATGCATTGTTAGCTTTGAAACCATTTCCCACGCCTTGAGAGATCTCAAGAAGATTTTTCATGTTAAACTAAACTGTCACCGCATTCATGAATAATTCATGTTAGCCTGTTCATTTCAAATGTGACATTTGGTGCTCTTTCTTACACAGATGAAAATTTACCTCTAATAAATGCAACCTCAGTCATACCCACACCGGATTATGGACATGCACTGAAAAATCATGGATCTGTCACAGCAAAATGGAGAAGTATATCCGTGCGATTTCAGTCTCGTGTCAACCAACAGATAATTAACGAAGGAATGACGGAGCTAAGATTTTCTTGATACAATCGTCCTTTGCCAGTCCCAGCGCAGACGGACATGCCATGGATCTCCTTTGGGTTCTATACTCCATGCTGACTGTATGTATGGCCATCAATTTGGAAGCTCCTGGCAGCCATAGCATGTTTACCTGCGAGTCTATCACATTAAGGATGTGCCAGGGCCTCTCCTACAATACCACCTTCATGCCCAACCTTCTGAATCACTATGACCAGCAGACCGCTGCTCTCGCCATGGAGGTAAATCACATGACACAGGCTGACTGTTTAAACAATGTCATCAAATTGCACTACATTAAACTACACTCCCAGAAAACCACTAATATTAGCACCTAAATGGTACATAACTACCTTTTAAAAGTGTACCGCTCCAGTTCCTTTTTTCTGAGAGTAGTTTGAATCATCATGCTCTAATAACTGCGTGACCTCAACAGCAGACATATAGATGTGGGTTGTGCTTGTACATGTATGCATTCATATATAAATCTTTTCATTTTGACCCAGTTCTTTCTTGTGCCCTGCAGAACATTTAGATCACATTACAGAAACGTTTAAAGGGAAATTAATCTTTAATCTGTCCTACGGGGCTGTTTTCTATGTCTTTCTTTCTGAAGTATCGTGCTGTTTAGAAAAAGAAAAAAAAAGTCGCTCTTATGTGGTCGAGGCAAAATAATTATCTTAAAAATATTTATATAACAAGGTTGCTTTACAACGGCTTGCTAGTATAAGCCACAGTGGTTGATGTTATGGGCAGTTAATGGTGCTTGGACGTGTTGTTTATTTTGATTGCTCTATAATCTTTGTATCTGCAGACATAACGCCTGGATTGATTCAAGCCGATAGTTAATCCTCTTTACCGGGCCGCGGTTTTCAGCTGAGCCAAACTGACAACAGCTGCATTAGCTTGTTACAGTAGCTAGAGTATCTGTTGAACACACACAATGCTGAACCTGCTGTCCTCAGTCACAAGGTTTTAACTTATTCACTTATTCACCTCAGTATAAGCGAGGGATGGGACAGAAAATTAAAAAGAAGAAGAAAGATAAGGAAAAATGAATGGGTGGAGTTTAGCCGAGGCAACCCATCTGCTCGTCCTCATGTACATCGTGTGGAAATGTGGAGTTACATAACCTTTTGCACTTTAGCCAGCGCAAACACACACAGAAAGCGATGATACTTTTTAAACCCACTGTTGCACAAAAGATTATTTTCACAAGCATTTGAATGATAATCACAATTCACATGTAACACTGTGCATAATATATTTTCCAAGCACTTTGTACAAAAAAAGATTTTTCGTATTGTTATTTTATAATTCTTTAAGAAAATATTTTATTCGTTTGGATTGCAAGAATGAAAGTATTTTGTTCTTTAAATTACCACAAAATAACTTAATAGGTCAGAGAGTTTTTGGCATGACTTTGAGGATGTAAAATTAACAGAAAAAGAAAACCCGTTGTAAGATTGACATGTGATTTTTCGATGAAAAATGAGAATGTAAGGGCTAGATCACCCAAAAATGAAAATTTTGTCATCATTTGCTCAACCTGAAGTTGTTCCAAACCTGAATGAGTTGAGATGCTGAACGCAAAAAAATATATATTTTGAAAATTGTTGGTAACCAAACAGTTGATGTACCCTATTGACTTTTGTTGTATGGAAAAAATACAATGGAAATAGTTAATGGGACTCATCGACTGTTTGATTACCGACAAAACAGTAAAATATCTTTGGGTGTAATATCTTATATCTTCAAAATATTAAATATCTTCAAAATTTCTTTGTGGCGAGCAGGACGATGTCGAGGGACGTGAGAGAACGGCACAAGACTGGTGCGTCCCACTGGCATTGCGCCGTTCTAACGTCCCTCGACCTCGTCCAAAGATAGTTTGTGTTCAGCAGAAGAAAGAAATTCATACAGGTGTGGAACAACTTTAGGGTGAGTAAATGATGACACAATTTACATTTTTGAGTGAACTATACCTTTAAGTCTGCTAAATAACCAGGATTTGATTGATGAATAGGCTATTTTTTACAAACAGCGGGCATCAATGACTAGAAGGTGATGATAATAGATAATTAACTAATCTTGCGTTGAAGGAAACCAGACTTTCAGATATCTTTCATTTCATAAGCTGCCAATCAATTATTTCTTTCTGGTTTCATGAGGAGCAGATTAATCGTCCTTGCTTTCCGATTCAAAACCACTGTAGGACAGTGGCAAAATTTTGCTCTGAACTCTGGGTAACCTCATTTGTGAAGTGGGACAGTTGCCTAAAGCGATGGTTTCTGGGATTGTTGTTGTTGTGTGCAGTAATAACAGGAAGGTTTTGAACTGATCATGCAAAGAGAATGCTGGGTAAAACTAATCATGTTCCGCATTTCAGGGGCAGTGATTGATGTAGTTTGACATCTTGTTCATTTAAACTTCCTCCCCAATTTGACAGACATACAAAGATACTTTGACCTTGTC